TCAAAAGCGGCATTTGAGACTGTGATGTCAGCTCTTCTCCATGGCACGGGAGCAGCTCTAACAGTTTGGGGCAATTTACATCTATAAACCTATCCAACTCTAGAGCCCACAAAACGAAGTCCTTCCGGGTAGACTAATTCCATCACAGAATCCTTGCGTTCTCCTTTGGAAGCAGGGAATGGTGAGATCAAACAGTGACTGGGGCGGGGCTGCACTTTGGGGTAGTGTCTGTGTGTATTTGCAATGGACAGAAAGCCAGCCTTTTCCTGGGAACATCCATTGTTCTGCTGCCCACCACCCACCGTCCTTCGAGAACAATCTCTCTCTCCAACGTTCTCAGGGAACAAGCCCCTCCCTTTATGTCCCTGTGCTTCAGTAAAGTCAGGCCTGGTATTTCCCAGGACTCAGGGTGTGGCTCCTGGATGGACAAGCCCCCCAGTCACAGCCAGTGAGACACAGTGAGATCTCTTCTCAGATCCCTGTGAGAAGGACACTGTCCTGGGCTCCCTTGCCCCAACTCGAACCTGGAACTATCTAGGGAAGGGGAAATTAGCCCTGAGGGAGTAAAAGTAAACTACTATGAAAAAATGTCCACATTTCTTCTGTCATTAGGATGACAGGAAATGTCCAGCAATGGTAATGGATAGCACTATCCGACCTTTCAAATGAGCAGGAATGCAGTCCTATCCCTTGTTTTTCATGATGGGCCAGACTTCTAGTTTCTGGCTTCAAATACCATCGTTCCATAACTGACTTGGAAATAAGCTAGAAGTAGCTGTGCCAACAGGACCACCAAATGGAGCAAGACTGACCGCTTCCAGCCATCACCTGCTGCCTGGCCTCAACTGGCTACTGCCATCCTGGGGAACCCATTCTCACTAGGTCACTTTCTGTCTGCTGGCACGGGTACTGCGGATGGAAGGGCCACCTCCCTAAGTGCTGTTTGTGCACAGCATCACCCACCCCCTGGTCACCCCCTTCCCTGGGGCCCCATTCGCTAAAAAGTGACCAGTTAATCTCGGATATGGCAGGACACTTGAGGTCTGCCACGGTGTCTGTCCCACCTGCTCCTGCACCCTCATCTCCTGTGCTGCCCTTCATAGACTCTGCCCAGCTGGAATTGTCGGCTCAGTGTTTTTGGACACAATCCAAACTCCCCCAACCTCTCTCTCTGCTTATCCTCCCAACCTTTAAGGCTGAGCTCAAGTCCTCCTTTCTCAGGGAAGCCTTCTCCAAACTTCACAGCCCCCAGGGCTCTCTTGAAGTCCACAGTGCCTCTGCAACCGATTGGCACCTGGTGTATATGGATCCCTACCTTTTGCATAGAGACTGATACCCTCGACTTCACCATTACCATGATGGCGGGGGCTGAGACTTGCACTCTGAGGAAACCTCAGTGTGTGGCAGTAATTCCATCATACGCAGTAGGATCGGTAATGCTAACAGCAGCCTAGATTTATAGAACTCTTTCTGGGTATGAGAGACTGTCCTGACTATGGCATGTATTATACTATACTATTATACTATCTCATGTATCTCATTTAATCCTCATAGCAGCCTGTATAAGGAAGATATTACCCAGAATCTGAGACACAGATGGGTTAAGTAACTTGCCCCAGAAAATGGTGAACCCAAGATTTGAACCCAGGCCATCTGACTCCAGAACGTGAGCTAGACTGCCTTGATAAATGTCGGTTACTCATGATGAAGACCTCAGCTCATCTTGTTTAGCCAGTGTGTTATTACTTTCATTAAAAGCAAAGGAAATTTTTAAAGAATGCTATCGATTTTACTCAAAAGTTCTCCTGTCTTCTTCTCAACTGGCCATCAATTTCCAGGTTAGGTTGAATGGAAAAAGTTTTGATAAGATTCACCATGTGCGGGGAAGGAAAAGAGTTACATTCCCCACTGTCTTCATTTACATTCACTAAAACATTTATTGAGTATCCACTACATGCCAGACACTGTGTTGGATGCAAGTGACATTGAGATAAAGAAGAGCTATAATTACCAAAGAAATGGTTTGGAGCTTCAGCAAAGTGTGATACACTAGATGTCTCAGAAACAATGATGCAACAATTATTTTCTTTTTGAAATGTCATTCTGGAAGGACCACTAGGTTTTCTGCAGTATTAGAAGGGATTTGAAAGCCCAGCAATAAAACTGAAGTATCACACCCAAAGTCTCAGTTAAGAAATAGAGGTCATCAAGGTGCCTCAAATAATTTGGCATGATGTGTATTTCTACCTGGATCTGCCCTCTCTGCTAAACATACTGCAGCCTGCCAGGAAAGCCAAGGGTGTATTTAGGATGCTTTACTTGGAGACCTTGGCAGGTATAATTCTGTCTGCTGTTGATTCTTGGCTCTCAGGTGTAGATGGGCTTTCTGCGGGCAACTGGTGACTATCCTAGACCCACTCTGTTCTGGAATTCGGACTGTGATCCAGTGATGCTGCAAGAATAATAACTGCAAGAGTAAGATTTGAATGGGAATAAAGTCATGTCTGAATATGACTCAAATTATGGGAAAGCTACGAAGAGAAAGTTTGCTTAAGGTAAGAGGTTAACATTTTTCTTCCTTTTTTTTTTTTTTTTTTTTTACTTGAGAAGTCATTTGAAAAGGGCCTCTACACAGATTTACATTAACTTGGCTGGGTCAGGTTTCTCAGATGGATCCCAGAGCCTGGTCCCAGCATCTGCGTGCTTAGAGCGCCTACCTGGGAGGTGCCCTGTGGAGTCATTGAGCACCAGACCTGGGGAAAATCACCTACAATGAAGACAAGAAACTGATTCCCATATGCTGTTCCATGGACAAATGCAGGCACTCAGAATGGCTTTCTGCAGTGGCTGATGGGAGACATTTCTTAAATCTTGAAAAAACATTCTCCTTTCAGTGGGCACCAGAGCATCACCATCTTTGACCACTAGTCAAGTCAGCAGAATGGCGCTGACACTCTTCCCCCATCTGAGAATGGAGAGAACAATGGATGAGAAGGCGCCTGAAGGAGACTGTGGTGTATCTTTTTTGGGGATCTCTAAATTCTCTGCCATCAACATTCAACCTTAAGAGCTTGCCTTGCCACTTTCAAAGGCCCTTTTCTTGGTCAAATGCTCTGTAGTCCTAACATCCAAAAATGCCAAAGGTTCAAAGTTAAATCATTGCATGCTAACAGGATTGGGTGCAGTCCTAAGACGTGCTATGTATTTTGTTTTGAACCACTGGCTTTTGTGCTTTCAGGGAGTTTAAGTTACATTTTGAGGTACAGACTTGATGAAATAGTAATTATTTGTCACAAATTCTATGGATAGAAGCAAAGTTCTACAAATTACAACTCCTCTTCCATTTTTGCAAATAAGTTTTACCGGAACACAGCCCTGCCCATTAGGTTACATGCTGTCTGGGGCTGCTTTCTTGCCACAATGGCAGAGTTGAATAGCTGCAATGGAGACCGGATGACCTGCAAAGTCTAAAACATTTACTATCTGGCATTTTACAGTAAAAGCTTGCTGACTCCTGGATTAGAAAATTCACTAAGGCTCTATAGGTCTTGGGGCAGTGATGAAAGAATGACTAAAATGTTGAAATAGGTTTAAACACATATAGATGCAAACCTGAAAATAATACCAAGTTATGATGCAAATATGAAAATATTTTACAACAGGTTTTAAATCTGCATTGCTGGTATATATCTGTATATCCCATCTCTATCCAAAGGTTCCAGACCCAGTTGGTTTTATGGGTGACTCCTGTCTAACCTTTAAGTTACTTTGTATTTCAGACCCCTAAAGAATATGGAAAGCTTCCAAAAATGCTGACATTAGCATACACTTGATTCCAAAAGCCTAACAAAGAAAGCATGAAAGAGAAAACTACAGGCCAATCTCATTTATGAATTTAGAGGCAAACAGCCTATGAAATATCAGCAAATTGAATCCAGCAATACACTGAATGCCATTTGATATCTATCTAAAAGGTTTTAATGTAGTAAATTAGTAACCTTTTAATGTAGTAGCGCGGCAAAAAGTTAATTAATACCTAAATTGTCCACCCAAAATCAGAAGAAACTATATTTAATTTTGGTGTATTAATTATGTTAACAAATATAATTAAATTTTATTTAAATACATATATTACATAAATTAACATATATAATTTTACACAGTGAGGCCTACTTTCTGGGCACTTAGTGATCTTTACATCCCTGGACTGAATTGAAGGTCTGGGTTGGAATCCCAGCTCTAACCATAGGCGGGTGTGTAACTCAGTCAGGTCACTGACCCTCCCTGGGCTTCAGGTAAAATGGAGAGGCCGTACCACCTCATCTCCAAACCTTGACTTCCAGGTTTCAGTTACAGACACATAGGAAGCCAGGCCCTATTCTGGTCGTTTTACTAGCTGAAAAATTTCAACAGCATCCAAGCAATAGAGAGGAAGATGCTTGAGAAAGCACTTTTGAGTGGCAGAGGCATTTGCACAAATGTTTCACTTTCTCATTTCAATTCAAAAAATGGTATGCAACTTGAGTCTGTGTATTTGTGGGAAGGACTGTACAGGCAACACCAGGAAAGAGAACAATGGATTGTGGAAAGAAGAAAAAGCCCCTCCGAAACATGCCTTTCTTTTTCTTCCTAGGTCTTTTCAGCTTCCAAAAAGGAGACATATTTTCCATATAATTGCTAAACATGTTTGCTTATTAAATTATTCTTTAATTAGTCAATGATTTTAGCCATGCTTTGCTCTTCAGATATTCATTTTGTGTAATAAAATAATTATAGATAATTAAACTATCTCAAGCCTTTTTCTTTCCCCCAGCAAACATGCTGGGTATCCAAAAATGACAACAAGTTGTAAATTAATCTGGAAAACAAAGCATGACAGATGAATGATTTGGTTGGAATTAATTAGGCACTAATTATATACTGGAACTAGATGAAGAATGAGACTCATTATAAAGATAAAACACTCTTCTGAAAAGATGCACAGTTACCCACATCCTTACCTTCTGTGGTGATGGAGTTGTTCCTTATCCAAGTCAGTGCCTTACAGCAGTCCTCCTCGTCATTGAGGGTGAAATGATTGCAAGGAACTTTCCCAGTGTACCGCCGCTTACTGCCGTTTGCAACCTCTCTGTTTGTCGGGTGTTGACTAATATCAGCCCCTGCAGGGCATGGGACCTGAGGTATGTTAGAGACATGCTTATTTCAGTGGTAATAGGTGAAACACCAACGCAGTTGGGAAAAAAAAAATAAGATATAGCAATATCAAGTACAGGTATGTCTTTTTCTGTTTCCAGATATAATCAATCAGGTGTTTAATTAAGGGGGAAAAAACAGGCAGAATGACCACTTAGAGATGGTTCTTAGAAGGAGTCACCCTGGTTATCTAATGCTGTGCAACAAATTATTTCAAAACTCAGTGGTGGAAAACAACCATTTATTAGGTTCCCAGATTCTTTACATCAGTAATTCAGACAGGCGAGGTGGGGGACAGGTTGTCTCTATTCCAAAATGTCTGGGGCCTTAGCTGGGAAGACTCAAATGCTGGGGGTAATTTGGTGGCTGGGGATGGAATCATCTGGAGATAATTAAAGTATCCCAATCCTTTTCCTTTCCCCCAGAAAACATGCTGGGTATTCAAAAATGACAAGTTGTCATTATTTGTCTGGTAGTTGATGTTGGCTGTGAGCTGGATCTTAGCTGGGGTTGTTGGCCAGAACACCCACATGTGACCTTGCCGTGTGGCTTGGGCTTCCTCATAACATGGTGGCTGGGATCCAAGAGCAAGTGTCATGACAGAGATAGAACCAGTGCAGAGAGCTCCATGTTCTTTTCTAACCTAGTCTTGGAAATCAGGCAGTGTCTCTTCCACCATATTCTATTCATGGAGGTTGTCATAGAGGCCTGCCCAGGACCAGGGGAGGGAACCTAGACTCCACCTCTTCATGCAGGAGTGGCACGGCTCTGGACGAGGACACGGGACTTAGTTTGACGTGGCCATTTTTGGTAAAAACAATCTGCCACAGACACAATTTTATCTGGGGTTGAAATGCAAGTGTATAGAGGAGCTAGGCAAAAAAGAGAACGAGGGAAGTGGATTACTATATACTTAGGAAAATGATAGACTTATTCTTCGCTTCGTCACAGAACTTCTCTCTCTCTCTCTCCCTCCTCCCCACCCCGATTCTCTCTCTCAACATGGAGCCCTCTCAGCATAACTTCTGGTCTCTCGGTTTTGACACAGACCTGAATGGGAACAGAAACTTTCCTCTACTGTAAGGAAAGCAATAGTAAAAACACAATAAAAGATGACAGCTAGCTAACTTGTCTTCTGTGTCAAGAATACTGTAGCAAACTGGAGGGTCTGTGCCCTGGCCTCAGAGTTCAGCCAGAGCACAGCTCCATCCGGTTGTTGTCAGGGGAGAGTACGGGTTCAGCACGGCCAGATCTGATTTCTCGAGACATGCCAAATCCTTGGGTTTTTATGTGGACTCCTGATTTCTTATTATATTGGTTCAAATTAAAATCAAACAAATGCCACTGTGAAAACCAAATAAAACAGCACACTGACCTGAATTTATTTACCCAGTGGGCCACCACTTTGCCTCTCTGATTTTTATTTGGCCGTCAGCTGGAGAGTATGTGGAGGAAAAAGAGGCAGGCAGAGGGGCACAAGACTCAAAGGCAACTGGAGGCCTCTGGTGGAAGACCTACCACACTAGCGGGCTTGCTGCATTATGGTTTAAGGCCACAGAAATAGGGGCAGAGGAATTTTTTTCTCCCTTGACAAAATGCTTTATTGTACTGGGCCAATTGCTGGCTGGTGCCTGACTAAACCCCAGCTGACAGTTAGGAAACTTTTGGTTCATATAATGGTATTTTCACAAAATAGGCAAAACTCAAGCTAGGATTTTAAATCCCAAAGCCAAATAATTTGTCCACACAGAGTTTAGCAGAACTCAATGAATAAAAAATGATCTATGAAAAAACACTGATACTATGTCATCAAAGTAAAGGAAGAAATAAACTTTAATATAAGGGCATGAGTGTATTTAATGAAGAAGTGCCATCCATCAGAGCTGGCTGTTCAAACTAGAGGGTTCTCTGCTACCAACTAAACTGGCACGAACTGTCGATTAGAGAGCAGCAGACAACTTTCCAACGTACCATCCTGTGACTTGACATTGAACAGTGCATCACTGTTGAACCAGCATCACTGGCTGGTGGGAACCCCTTGAACACCCCATTCCCCCCAGCAAGTTAATATTAATAACTTATGGTGGCAGGCACTGCTGGCAGCCTATCCAATATTCTAGCTCCCTTTGTTTTTTTTTAAGATGGAGTCTTGTTCTGTCACGTGGGCTAGAGTGCCATGGCGTCAGCCTAACTCATAACAACTTCAGACTCCTGGGCTCAAGCGATCCTGCTGCCTCAGCCTCCTGAGTAGCTGGGATTATAGGCGCACACCACCATGCATGGCTAATTTTTCTATTTTCGATAGAGACAGGGTCTCACGCTTGCTCAGGCTGGTCTTGAACTCCTGTCCTCAAGTGATCCTTCCGCTTCAGCCTCCCAGAGTGCTAGAATTATAGGCGTGAGCCACCATGCGCGGCCTATCTCCCTTTCTTTCTTAGTAACAGACTCCTTGGAAATATGCCCAGCTGCAAAACCACATTTCCTAACTCATGACCTAAGAGCTAGTCAAGAGGTATAAGCAGGAGTCCTTGGGTGAGGCAACATGAAAAGTCGTTTTGCTCTAGTCCTTCCTCCTTCCTGCTTCTTGTAAATCGAATGGCTGGAGCCACAGCAGCCATCTTGAGATGCTGAGTATGGAAACTACATTGGAAGGAAACCAGATGGAAGGGGCCTGAGGCCCTGATAACACCAGGGAGGCAACTTACTGGACCTGAGTTGCTTTTCTTCAGATATTTTTAATGAGAGAAAGAAATAAACTTCTTTTCCTTTTTAAACTGCTTATTTGACTCTACTTATAAACAGTAAGTTCTAGAATCTCTGTTGTAAAGACTTTTAAGAGCTATCAAGTGTAATCCCTGTACTATATCAATGAAAGAGAGAAAGAGGAAAGGGAAAGAGGGAGAGGAAAGAGGAACAGAGACAGTGGTTCAGAACTCATGCTCTCCCTGCAGGGGTGGGGAACCTGCAGCCTTCTAGATCCTTAAGTACAGCCTTTTGACTGAATCCAAATTTTACAAAACAAATCTTTTTATTAAAAGGGATGCAGCAGAGAAAGATGAAGCTTTTCTTGCCTCCTTTGGTGCTTAAAAAAGAACACTGTTGAAATCAGAAGGCCACAGGTTCTCCAATTCCTTGCTGACTGACCTTGAACAAATTACCTTCACGGCACTTTGATTCCCTCATTTATAAAATGGGGATGAAAATAGCATGGACCTCAGAGTTACGGTGAGCGCTCCATCAGTTAACATCTGTCTGTCGCTCAGCAAACATCCTACCACAGCGAGGTGCTTCTCCCCGTCCTGCTGAGGGCTCCCCTGACACACCATGCTCCTGTCTCTGGGCCTGGCCACTCCCTTTCGCAGTAGACTTTCGGACTATTAGAAAGTTGTTTCTTGGGACGAATAAGCACTGTATTCTCATTTTTTCTGGGGTCTGTCTTAAAGGCTTTCCAGGCTGTGATGTACAAGTCTAATTCGTTTTCTACGCGAAAGCCCTGCAAGTGTTTGAGGACTGGCTGGCATCCTGTGCACCCTAAATCTTCACTCCTCTGACCAAACATCTGGAGTGACTTTGAGTATCTGGCTGTGCTTCAGCTTGTTCTATCCCTTTTAAAATGAGACTCCAAGAAACCAATGTCATATTCCAACGGCACTTCTGTATTTGTGGTATATCTTTTGACACAATCATGTTCAGCAGGTAATGGGTTCATGTCTACATGGTCGTCATGAATTTTATCCGTTGTCAGTATGAATGTTTTTTCCTTCCACTTCCACTTGTTGAGTATTTATATTGCTGCTGCTTCTCACAGCTGTGTGAATTCACCTGAAAATTTCACTTTTTGTAACTTTTAACCATCTTTTTGTTTTTCAACTTTTGCTGCCATTTTGATTGAGAATTTCTCTTGCATTTTGAATTGAGTGCAAAAACAGAGTTTTAGTCTTGTAACAAGGTAGTTTGAAACCATGTCATTCCCTGTTATAACTGTTGTACTTTTCCCCTTGTATCATTCTAGTTTATACCTTCACTTTTAACCATTTTGGCTTTGTTTTCCCTCCTTTTTATCTTCTCCAGTGTTTGGAAGGTTCCTCATGCTGTTCCACAGGATTCTGTAAACTTATTTCTTCTAAATACAAGAGTCAAGACTGAAATATTACCTTTGGATTTCTCCATTTAAGATGATGCATATTCTTCCCTTGCCACCTCTCTCTCTATTTTCAACAACTTCCTGGTCTTTATTAGGTTAATTTAGATTGAGTCATTATTTTCTACTTTGCATTTATTCACAGATTTACAAAAATTATTTAGATTACATTCTTAAATTGTTTGTGTTGCTTGCCACCTGTCCTTTTCTACTATTGTGAAGATCTAAATTTCCTTTTATGTCTTAGTTATTTGGAATACCAGTTAAAGCAAAAAACATGGAAGATAATTTTTCTGAGGCCTCGCACATATCTTCAAATATGAGAAAATTAAGTGGGCATATAAGTATGGAATCACCAATTTCCCTCAAAATTCTGTGTGGTTGGTTTCATTTTCTTTTGCCATTTAATGCTTGAGAAAATATTTGACACCTGACTTACTTTTGTTCCTTTTTCAGGGGAAGGGTTGGTAATCTGTTATTTTTCTTTTGAAGTTCATTTTTTTCCCCATCATCATCATTCTCATAGAACCAAAATTTTGTCAGAATGTAACTAATTGAGAAAATTATTTCTTTGAATCTGCCTGGAATGTGGTTAGCTGGACAATATATTTTTCAGGTAAGGAAATTTTTCTTCTAGAATATCTTTGATTATTTCCTCTATTCCATTTCTTTGGCTCTTCAGGAAAACCAATTATCTATATGTTGTCTCCATGTCTATCATATCCTGTTATCTCTTGTACCAAGTATATCCCTTTGTCCTTTGCCTCTGCCCCCCAGGGGAGCTTTGCAGTTTGTCTTCAGCATCACTAACTGTACAGCAGCAGTTCTGTCTCTGGTGGGGATTTAATTTCAATTCTTTCTTATTCACCCATCTCCCTTTCATCTAATCCTGTGGCCTTTTCAGCTTACTCTCTACTCTTCTGATGGCTTCAGCTCCCATTTCAGAGGCTGAGTGATAAAATTGTACTGAGGATGATAAATAGTTTCCTGCAATGTTTGTGTGTGTATGTGTGCATGCATCTTGAATTTCTGAATATTTTCAAAAATGTGTTCTGTGATTTTTCCAGATGTTCCCTTTCTCTTATTGTGTTATCTTTTTGGTCTAGTTGTCTCTTGCTGTTCAATAAACTCACACCAAAAATTAGTGACTTAAACAACAACCCTTTTATTAACTTTTCATGGTTTTCTTGCTCAGAAATCAGGTAGGGTTTGGATGGGCAATTCTTTTATTCTATGTGTTATGGAGAGAAGTCACTTTAGCGATATTCAGCTGGTGGATGGACTGGCCTGGAGCATCCGAGATGGCTTCACTCACATGTCTGGTGCCTTGCAGGGATGGCTGGAAGGCAGAGAACCCACCTATGGCATCTCCAGCATGGTGATCCCAGGGTATCAGAAGTTTTTATGTGGTACCCAGGGCTCCAGGAGCAACTGTTTCCACAAACAAGGAGGATCTTTATGGCCTTTTTGACTTGGCCTCGGAAGTCACACCATGTCACATCCTTTGTACTTTGTTGGTTAAGGCAGTCACAAGCCTGCCCAGATTCAAAGAGAAGAGACATAGACTCTACCTCTTGGACAGAAGAAGCATCAAAGACTTTGTAACCATGTTTTACAGCAGCCACTTTTCTTTGACCTCATGCTGTTATTTTCCCCTTTAATCGTCTTCAGATTGTGATCTCTTCATACTAGTTGCTGTCAAATGGCATTGGGGACTGTCTTTCTCAGGTCTGTTACTGGGAGGCACACTGGTGTAGATAGTTCTCTCTCCTAACCCCTGTTTGTAGCAGGCTCTCACCGGGGGCTGCACTGTTCTGGATGCCACACTATTATTTACCCAGTCTAAGATAAAATTAACCTCTTTGGAGACTGCACATATTGCTGATCCATATCAAGCTTACCATAACTAGTCCCCAGCTCTTTCTCTCACTTGGTTGAAGGTACTTGCCCCACCTACTGGCTGCTCGTGAGCACCACTTCTTTGAATAGTCCACGCCACAGTTTTCTAACCATCAATGCCAAACTCATGTGACTTCGAGTTGACAAATTTTTGTTCTTCTTCTTTTTGAGGTTACCCAAATCCAGGTGTTGGGCAGGCATCTCTCTGTCTTTCCATAACTGTCACGAGTCATAGAGAGCAGCTCTTTGATCTCATTTGTAAGCTATCTCAGAGTATTTTTCAAAACCAGCATGTGTTTACCAATTTAGAAGAATCAAAGTTGATAGGAGGGGTGAGGAAGGGAGTTAGAGGGTTCTGAAAGTGAGCCTGCTAAATCTTCATCTTCCAAAATGGAAAGGTCATAGCTAATGCCTGAAGTTGACAGATCAAGGAAAAACTTCTATAAACATATTAACTGTATTTGGAGTTATAGGGGTAACCATGAAAGAATTAAAAACAGAAATGCTTCAAACTGGTTGTTTCTGGAAAGAGGGCTTGGAAGTAAGAGAGGGTTGGGAGAGAGGCTGGCCCCCCTCATGCTCAGCCCCAAGGTACAATGTAATGTTTTACTTTGTGCATGGATGTTCTGATAAAAAAAAATAAGTGATATGTATTTGAATATCAAAAATACTGCATAATATTTTAGAGTGAGGCATGCCATTTAAAAGGTCTGATTAGGCCAGGCGCGGTGGCTCACGCCTGTAATCCTAGCCCTCTGGGAGGCCGAAGCGGGCGGATTGTTTGAGCTCAGGAGTTCGAGACCAGCCTGAGCAAGAGCGAGACCCCGTCTCTACTAAAAAAAATAGAAAGAAATTATTTGGACTACTAAAAATCTATATAGAAAAAATTAGCTGGGCATGGTGGCGCATGCCTGTAGTCCCAGCTCCTCGGGAGACTGAGGCAGTAGGATTGCTTGAGCCCAAGAGTTTGAGGTTGCTGTGAGCTAGGATGACGCCACGGCACTCTAGCTAGGGCAACACAGTGAGACTCTGTATCAAAAAATAAAAAAATAAAAAAAATAAAAGGTCTGATTAGAGGTTAAGGTTTGTAATTATATTTTATAACAGGTTATCTTCTTGCTTTGGGTTTAAGCTTTATTTTTATCACTTTAATTTGTTTTTAAAAAATCGAAAAATTGGGACAAAACCATGAGATTGCTGAAGAGAAGGAAATAAGAGAAAAAAATATCTAGAAGATCCCCAGGGAATTCAGCTGCCCTTTCTGCATCACTCTATGTACTTTGATTTTTATGTCCTTCTGGAAAAATTAAATTGGAACTCCCTTTGTCACTTCTTCATTTCATTTTTTCCATTGTAAAAAGGGCAAGAGCTTAATGTGCCACAGACTAAAGCTGCAGGGGCAGCTGGACACACATGGGCAGATGCTCCAGTCTCTGGACAGCTGGCCGGGTCTTCCACTCGCAGTTTCCAAAGTACGCAGTTTTGGGCAGCGGCTAGAACCCGGCGGGCAGGTGATGGGGAGACCAACTGAAAAGGTGCATGGTGTTTTCTTCTGGCTTAATGTTTTAAAAAGAGGAATATTTAAATATCAAAACGAAGTATTCCTCCAGTTAATTTTTATCCCTTAACCAGAAAAAAAAATCCTCTTCTATCCTTTGAGAATTAGACTTCTCAAAATAAAAAAATAAAAAAAAATACAAAAGAAAGAAAGCAAAGGAAAGGAAAGGAAAGAAATTATTCAGAGGTTGATCCAAACTACTCCAAGTGTGGTCCATTCACTGGCATCATGGGCCTCACCTGGGAGCTTGTCCGAAATGTAGCATTTCAGGCTCCCAGCCCAGCCCCCCTGCTCCACTCTGCATTTTAACAAGATGCACAGGGGATTCGTGTGCACAGTACAGGTTGGGAAGTGCTGCTGTAAGGTATAGATGAGGGATTCTAGGTTGAGCAAATTCGAGCTGGTGGTTCTCAGCCTTAGCTTAGAAGCATCTGGGAGGTTAGAAAAAATACCCAACTGGGTCCCACCACAGAATAATGAAAACAATCTCCGAGGGTGGGGCTAGGCATAGGTGTGTGTTCAAAGCACCCGAGGTGATCTCAATGTGCAGCCAAAGCAGAAAACATTGGTTAAGTGATGCTCAGAGCTGCTGAGCGCATTCTGTGACAACGCCTGGACTGAGACGCTGTCTCCTCCACAAGCTGCCTCTTGCGGCCTTGGTGATGTCAAGGAACTGGTGTACAAAGGCCTGCATCGAATCCACAACCATTCACAAAATGGCCTGACTTAGATTCCATCCCTGAGTTACAGAGTAAGTCTCATTTCCACATATTTTTGTAACTACCTCAAATGCTCATGTGCACTGTAAACCGGGAAGATTAAAATCTGCTGCCCTAAGACATTGAACAGCTTCAACTGTATCCAGTGATGCTTTATTCAAATGTGGCTGGAGAGCTTAATAAAATGGAAAGGGCGGTCACTGGGAAACCAATCAACCAGATTTCCTAGTTTTATAACCGAGAGACAAAATAAAATAAGGGTTGACAGAAGGTGCGCATGTCTGAAATACTTTTGCGTGAGCCCATTGCCACAGCCAAATGTTAGCCTCTTGAGGCATAAATTAATTTACCACAAATGCATTCCTGGTTGTGTCTGGATTCTGCTAGGGTGAGCAGTAAGTGTTAGACTTTTGGACAACAGCTTAAAGAATGACATTTCTCTAACTTGCTGTGATTTTTATCCTTGAGCAGAATGTTTTTCTTGGAATGGGTTTCTGGGAGGGTTTGCGGACACAATTCTGGTCATGTGTGCAGGCCCTGAAGGGCGCTTTTATGAATTTAGCTCAGCAGCTGTCCAGACAAGAAGGGATGCTCTTTACCCAGAAAGCGTGTGCCCCAGTAAACACATGAATCACTCTCATGGAGGTCTCCAAACACATGCCGTTTGCACTTCATGTGCCCGGCCTTACCTGGTACTGCTGCCCGGTACAGAGGATGAGGTGGTCATAGAGCACGATTTCCCCCTTGGAAAGCACGACGTGCTTGGCTGCCCGGTCTATGCCAGTCATTCTACCAACCACAACATTAACCCAGGAGCACAGTGACATCAATGCATAATCTTTATCATTAAAACAGTGGCTGCAAAGAGAGAAGCTCCGTAAGTGACATTTGAGCAGCTGACAGCGGGCATTAATTAGACATCTGGTGAGCTGGTTCAAGTCCCCTAGTGGGCCGGGTCTGTGCTCTTGCTGTGAGTTTACCAGGACCGACACTGGGAGATTGTTCGTTATGAAACACTTAGTCACAAATTGACATCTTCCCATTAAAGCTAAATTGTTCCACCTGGCTTAGGCCAGCCCATGACAGGGAGGGAGGGAGGCTGTGTGTGTGTGTGTGTGTGTGTGTGTGTGTGTGTGTGTGTGTGTGAAATCACTAATATTATGCACTTTCCTCTGCTTCTGTTTCATGGAGGTTGTACGTTTTCTTTAGCTGTTGAACTGTCGTATTGATCACAGACTCAAAGGGAATGAGGAAGAAGGAAGTGACATTGTTGAGAATTCCCAAAGACGGGTCAGAGTCCTTGAATATGGAGAACCCTTCTTATTTGCTGATACTTTTCAATAAAGGGCTCATTCTTAGAATTAATGTATGGCTTCATGCCAAAACAACAAAACACATTTTATTTAACGAAGATGTCAATTAGGGAATTATGTTTGCAGCAAGTATACTCCCTGGAGACTTTTGGGATTCACCCTACAGGGCAAAGGTGATTTACAGGGAACTGGTACTTCAATGAACAGCAAGTCCTTTAATGCTGTGGCTTCAAGGCACTGGAGGCTGCCTGAGCTTTCATTTTCTGGGTTCTATGGGAGTCTGAGCACTCTACAGTAATGTGGTAAGAGTGGGCTTCTTGTGGTTTTTAAGTTTATTTAAAGATTTTTGTGAGGGCTGTTTCTAGAATTTTCTGAAAGGTTTTACCTTTTAATGACTCTGTTCTGAAGACTGAGAGTCTAAGGCAATAGGACAATAAGTGTTGCATTGAAGTTTAGGCTGTATGATCCTTTTCTTCTTTTTAAAAACATTTTTAAACATTATTTTTTTATTTTTAGAGATGGAGTCTTGCTATGTTGCCCAGGCTGACCTTGAACTTTTAGGATCAAACCATCCTCCATGTCAGCCTCCTCAGTAGCTCGGACTGCAGATGCACGTCACCACGCCCAGCAGCATGATCTTTTTCACTCAGAACTGTACCATGGTCCAGGTCCCTGCTCTTTTGCTAAAGAGCCTAGACTCTGCATTCCCTTGATATATTTCAGTTTTCTCACCTCCCGACATGGGATAATTAGCCCTCCCTACATGTCTCAGCCATTGTACAGAATGAACAGAATGTAAGAGATGCTGTTTTGTTAAGTGGGATGCATATGTGAAGGGTATTATTGTAAATAATATTAATGATACATAATCCTGTTTACTTTCTTTGGAGGAAAACAGGATTCTGAAGTGGTAATGGGAGAACATTTTTTCTTTTTGATCCACACGTGAGTCTTGTCTTGCTGCACAAAGAGAATTCTAGTAATGGTGCACATTAGACCCTGTTACGGGAGCTGTGAAAGAGATGGGAGCTCTGGGCTTTGTATCTCTCCATGAAACGACACTTAAGAACAAGAAAATTTCTTCTTAATAAGTAAAGAAAATCAGAGGCTGGCGTGTCACAGGAAAATAATGGTGAGATGAAATAGTGAGATGAAATTCTCTTCTAAAAAACCATTTTGATAGCTTTGCAGGAGTACAGGAAACTCCATTGCTTCCATACATTCATGAGAGACCCACGAAGGCTTGCTCATATTTGTGATACAGTCCCTACTACAAGCATTCGAGATGAGGAAAAATTAAATATACTTAGTGCACAGGGATTAGTCTTATGAGGATTTGCCCAAAGGTAAAAGCTCTCCTGGGAAATTTGTGGAAGGCTAAGACAATGCTGTTTTTAATGACAGTAAGACAGTAGTGTTGATAATGTCAGAATGCATATTTCAAATTAAAATTTGAAGCTCTGTCCAGTGGGAACTGACACTGGGGAACACTGATTTTTAGGAACCTTTACTCAGATGCAAAAGGAAGCATTGAAGAATGTGGGGTGCTGGCTTTTATAGTATGTTATTACACTGAATAACATCTCTCAGTTTAAAATATCACTGTGTAAGTGACTGCTATGCATTCTGGATGTTACTAACCATGCTGAACCTTCTTTAATTTTCTTGCCAGGTAAGTGAAACTATATATTGGAGACTGTAAGTGATCTTTTTCCAAAATTATTTCCTAAGCAGAATTAATAAGCATTAAGATTTTAACGTAGCAGGGACTGTCTCATGGCTTGGTGACAAGAGAAATGCCTCCACTAGGGTTCTCTGGAAAGGAGACAAGAAACCAAAGAAGGCACATCAATGAAACTTCATGCTTCCCAAGTGAGTTTGACCCTGACTCGAAAATAATGTTGTCTTGACAGAAAATTCTGGAGACAGACAGGAGGAGAAAAAAAGGAAAAATTCGAGACGAAGAAATTTCTGGAAGAGGGCATACATGAGGAGCGGCAGCTTGCTCAAGGTTGTAGAGCCCCCAAACCGAGTGGTCAGAAGACTTAGCCTAAAGCTCCAGTTGCACAGTTAGAAGCAAGTTCCAGGAGGGCGTGTGTAAGTCAGTGGAGACCTGCACCTCACGGAATCAGAACTTTTCAGAACTGGAAAGAACCTTAGAGTTTCTCATAAAGGATTAATTGTGACACTTTTAGAGGAAGGACCATCATAATTAACTTTCAATTAGTCAGGGTCGATTGTCCAGCTAGTGGGTTTCTCCTGTTTCCTGTTCTCCCCTCCTCCCGCCACCTTCCCTTCGCTCCATCCCAGGCACGTCATTAGCGCCTCCGCCAGAGGCTGCACAGGGCGGGGGAAAGAAGCCAAAAATGGTTATTCAGAAAATAATCACAACAATAACAAATCAAAACACTGGTTAAGGACAAGTTCAAAATTAGTATTTGGAATGAGGAATTTAAATTATTAAATTTATGGATGTCATTTGCACTTGATATTTTTAAACTCCTTGCTCAGAGATAATTTCCTTTATTGGGGTATGAGGACCATTTGAAAAGTAACATCCTGTTTATGATTCATTCTGGTTTCTAAGAAGTATGATGACATGCAGTTACCCATGCAAAGGGATCTGGCTGTGTTATTTAGTCTCTAATACTTGAGGGTAACGAGTTTTGCGGATATTTTTGGAGGCAACTTTCATTTAGTCCACGTTATTCATTGAGCACTCGCTGTATGCCAAGCACTGTCCCAGATGCTGAGGACATATCAATGAACAGAAAGGTAAAAATTCCTGCCCTAGTGGAATTTATAGTATAGTTGAAGGATCTAGAATATAAAGAATAAACATAATTTAAAACGGCAAATTATATAATATTTAGAAGTATTTCCAGTAGTAAGAAAAAAATAGAGCAGAGAATGGGGAACTGTGTTGTGTTGGGGTGTTGGAGGCAAATGAATGGGGTGGGGTGGTCAGGGTAGGCCTCATGGAAAAGGTGACATTTAAGAGAGAAAAGCAAAGACCTCAAGATGGGGACTTGACCATCGTGTCTGAGGGACATTGAGAAGGTTGATGTGGCTAGAAAAAAAAGGCAAAAATAGTCAAAAGTCAGGTTAGAAAAGGAAGTAGACAGGGAGAGATTTTAGGTCAGAGCATTCTAGAACTTTCAGTGATGATGGCGGTGTTCTTTATCTGTGCTTTCTATTAATAATATGGTAGTCACTGGCCACATGTGGCTAATGTGATCGAGGAGCTGAATTTTTCATCTCATCTAATTTTAAGTAATTTAAATTTAAATAGCCACATGAGGCTAGTAGCCACCACATTGGATAGTGCAGCTCTGGGTTGCGAGGAGTTGATATGATCAGAGTCACATTTTTGCAGCCTTGCTCTGGCTACTGTGTTGAGAATGCAGAGAGGCAAGGACAGCGGCAGGGACAGGGGTGACTTTCCACTCAGCCACTGCCGATGCAGAAAGTCAGTTATTAGCTGTTCTCTCCCATAACATGCCCAGCGTGGGATTGACAGAAACCTTTACCCAACTGACTGAATTAAATCGCTCGTAAGACATTTATCCGTCCAAACAGTATTTCCTGGGAATCATACAATTTAGAAAGAGGAAAACTGGAGGAAGGGGATATCCATGTGTTCTTGGGAAGAATTTGGTGTTATGCTAATTCCAACAAAAATCCAGCAAGCTTGGCTTATCATATACTTTTCACAATCAAAAAAACCAAAGCTCAGACGCTTAGTGGTAGGGGCTGATCTGAATCTGAGTTCTCCTGGGCTCAAAACCCATGCCCTTTATACTGCACCATAATGACATCCTTCAAAAAATATTAAAGTTTATAGTTTGGTAGAAGTATTAGGTCAAAATCAGCATGGTTCTGCGGGTAAGGAAGCTGTAGTTTTTCTCACTGTCTGATGGAAAAGTGAGTCTTTTTCATGGAGGAGAGAGGGTCCCTTCATCATGGACTCTCAAATGAACCCCCTGAGAGGGAACAATTTCCTTCATCCTCATTGGAAAAATTGGAAGATTGTTTCTAGAGGCAGGGAGCCTAATATTTCTTGTACCCATGTTTTGCTACAGGAAATTAAAATTAATAAAACTTTGTGATAAGGAAATGGTATTGTCTAGAAGGCATTTTATCAAATAATGATTCCACTGGGATGAAAACAATAAGGCTTGCCCAGACTGGCATGGAAGTTCTCTGATTGCAAATGGCCAGGTTAGGTGTGAGACACATACCCCAGTGAGGTAGGTGCCTTGTTGGATGCAAACATAGTCACCAAGCTCCATTGCCCTAGTGTCACTCAGAACCCAAATACAGGGGTGCCTGGGCCCATAGACTCCATCCCAATTGCTTGGAACAGGGCAGATGTCTTCCCACAGATACAAAATGATGGCCTGACCCTGCCACTCTTGGCCATTCACTTGTTAACAAGTTTGTACTTGTATCTCCTAAATAACGTCTGAACTCCAGGAGAAAATCTTATCACTTTCCCTTTCCAATCTGAAATTCATTATTTAGCATAAAAAAGACTGCGCATGAATTAGGACATTTAGGACTCAGAATGAAAAAGCAAATAGAATTCATACTCAGTTGCTAAAAACTTCCTTTGTTCAGCACCCAGAAGGTTTTTTCCAGGGAGTCCATGAGTTGAAATCAGGATGAGATTATCAAACTTCAGGTGAGAGCTATGGGGAAAGAAAAAAAAAGGCAAAGAACAAAAAGAGTTTAGGCTTGATTAGTGAAAGTTTATCATAATTCAATTTAACTTTATATCATATGTCATACAACTGTTGAATTTTTCTTTGAAGCTAGCAACTCTTTTTGCACAACCCTTCAAATAGAACCGACCACTTAAATGAAAAAAGGAAGCTGGCACTGGAACTGCTATTGCAGAAACTTCAGCCACACACAATAATGACAGGACAGACACTGTTTAATTTTCTTCATTTAATTCTCAGAGTAAAACAAAATAAAACCCCCAACTTGGGAGGAGGGAGGTAAATATGGTATACATTAATGCAGAGTTTGAATTTTAGACTATTTCTAAGAAACTGCTTAGAATCACAGCCACCACAGCTAAACCTTGCTGAGTGCTTACAGTCAAGCCCTTTGCATGTAATGAGGTCAGTAATATTATTATCCATATTTTATCAGGTGAAACTGAGGCAAAGTGATTTGCCAAGACCATATCGCTAGTACGTCAAGGGCGGGGTCTGGACCCAGGCTGTCTCGCTCTAGCATCCTCTCACCTCACCTCTGCCTGTACTGCCCTGTAGACCTCAAATTGTCTAGAGGGATCCAAAGATCATCTAATTCCCATCGGTCAACATTAGCTTTATTACTTTCAGATACATACAGTTACTCAAATCAAGATACTAAACTGTCACTTAGGAGAAAATTCTGGAGGATTCCTTTTAAGAGCAAAACTGCCTTATATTTGCACCGGGCTTTCCAGAGCCCGCGGCACATTCACAGGCACGACCACAGAATCTTCAAGACGATGTATGTTGGGGTGGGGGAGGGGCAAGTTTTTATGACCCATATTTCATATGTGAGAAAATCAAGGTTGGAAATGGTAAGTAATTTGTTCAAGGTCACGAAGCTCATAAGCAGCAGGGCTAGAAACAAAAGCCAGGCTTTCCAACCCTGACGGTACCTTGTGCCACTCACCCACGCCGCCCCTAGCTGCCCACTAACCAGTCCTGCGTTAAGGCCCACCCAAGTGGAGGCCTCTGTAGAACTCACGTGCTGAACACTCACTCTATGTTTGCTCTTTAGTATTGAAAATGTGCCCTCTGGACACAGTCAGCAAAATTGTATGGGTGAGTTGATCTTTTCATAGGGTTTGGGCTGATGAGAAAGATATTTTCTTCTAAAATCTCTCCTTAGTTCATACCTCCCCTTCAGTCAACCAAATGCCAAAAAAAAGAAGCCTTCACCGAGTCAGAGGAAAACACCTGCCCTCTTTTCCCACGAGGAGATTGGAAAGGTTCCAAATGTGGAAATGCTATCAATTTACTGACAATCTGTTAAGTAGTATTGAGAGCAGGAGACTTTTGATCGTGGCACGGGCGGGCAACACAATAAACTCAACTGCACCTGACATTTAAAAATAGCTAAATATTAGGAGAGGTTTTGCTTTAAGGTCTCTAAGGATGGGTGTCATTTAAGAATGAATATTCTTATTTTATATGAAGAAAACTGAGCACATCTTATCCTCTAATAATAAGAATAAAAATTTTGAATATCTTCAAATAACATAAAGGTCACAATTAACCCCAGCTACTCAGGGCTGCCAGTTTGCAAGTGCACACCAATGACAGGTCTCTGATTTATTACCATTTAGTGGAAAAGCAAATAATAATAATGATATCTGTTTATACCCACACGCAGTAAAAATTTGGGCTTTGGATCCTATGTGATCGACATGTGGTTTATATTATACTAATAGTAGTTATACATAGGCCCTTTTTATGGCTCTATGTGAATAGAATATTTAATAATTACCCAGCTATATCTTTTACTACAAAGATAATCCCTTTGGTACCAAATAATTTAAATTATCTAACAACATGGATCAAATAACTTGTAAATTGCCAACTTACTACATTGTGTTATCCTAAATTATGCTATTGTACAATTAAAAATTTCCCCTAAAAGCAGTAGGTTTTTCTTTTATATCATCTATAATGATATAGTGCAAAGATTTTTTTTCAGGGGGAGACATTTTATGGATTATTATATATTAAAAAAACCAGCTTTTCACTCCTTTAGCCCTAGTCAAGATCCTTTTGCATTCTTTGTGTGGCTGTTCTGGTCCTTTCTCCAATCTTTGAGTTCCCTGCTGTCACCCTTCTTGTCCTTTCTACCATCCTCCTCCCTCATTCTCAAGTGGGCACATCTCCTCCATCATAGAGGAAACACAGCCAAGCCACCAGGTTTCCTTCCTTTTCCCTTCTTTCCATGTCTGGGGGCATCTACAGGAGACTTCATCCACCTCCCTGAGTCAGAGGAGAGGTGTCTCTCCACGAACCCTGTCTGTTCTTCAAGTCTTTCTTCTACCTCTCCCAACCCCACACCAGGAAATTTCTCTTACAACTAGACTTAAGACACCTGGTTGTGGCTAGTCCAGCACTGATAAGGTGGATCCGTGCAGTCAGCAGGGGCCACAGCCTGCTTCTCTGCTTCTCCACGTGAGCTTTCCATTTCCAAGGTCACCTCAGGCCCAAGGAGGCTCCTGAGCTCCGCCATCACAGACACATGACAAGCACAAGGCAGGAGGAATGGGCAGCCTAGTAAGGGACCTTCCTAAAAGTTCCACATGACATTCTTGTTTACACTGTCAGAACTCAGTGACATGGCCAGAGGGTAGCAGTAAGAGAGGCTGGAAATGTAGTTTTTCAAAGAAAAACATAGTGGTTTAAACAACAACAATGCACAATGGTTTTTCAAAGAACTGCATTGCCCAGGGTTCTGTTACCAAGGACAAAGGGCAGAATGAATAAGTCGGGGCCACTATAAGTCTCTACTCTAGTTGACTCTTGAAGAGAGGGTAGGATGAGGCTGGGAAAAGATCCTTAGTAATCAGGATCCAGGCAAAAAATATCAGGCGGACTCCACGAGGTCTGACCAAATGAGTGAAGGCAGAGGCATGTGCAGGTTACAGGGATCAAAAAGGGATGGGGAATTATCCAGGGACTCCCAACAGCGGATGTCATTGCTGATCCTAAGCCTAAAGGAGCAAGAGATGGAGGAAGTATCAAGAGCCCAGGGTCTGTGGCTGTAGAACACGGGGTCTGAGACAACGTTGCCTGAAGGTTCTCCTTCCTGATTGCTCTTTACCTGGCTCCTCCTCCACTATCCCATCTTCCTGGCTGATGTTACACACCACCATGACTTTATCTTACATATTTACTATAGTGTACTATATTGTACTATAGTGTTTCTTGGAGCTATAATCTAATTTCTAAACACCTAGCAGTCCTAACTGGAATGCTCCAGGGTAATCCCAAATTCAATTTGAGTCCGAACAAAGCTCTTGGTAGCCCCACCCCACTCCTCCTTCATCTCCATCAAAGCCATGGCCAACTAGCCACCTCTCAAGCTAGGAATGTGGAAGCCAATCTCAGACCTCTTCACACTTCCCACATTGGTCACCATGTGGGAACTAGTATCTGTATAATACATTTTCAATAAATACTTAGTATTTTTGTTACCAAACTATTAAGACCAAATTCACTAGCATGGTACATAACATCCTTATAGTTGGGTCCTAACCTAACCTCCCAAACCTTCTTTGTGATATCAACCTTCTTGCTACTTAGTGAGGTTTCCCTGCCCTTTCATGCCTTTATATAACAATATCACCAGCATTTTCATTTTTTCTTCCAACCTCATATTTTTGCTGTGATAGTTCCCTCTGTAATCTGAGTTTAGCAATACCCAAATATTTAATTCTTAACTCTAAGAGTATTGGTCCAAAATCATGAAGTTTATTCATGTATAATTCTAATAGATTGATTTTTAATTTGATTACCTATAAATATTCAAAAACTTCCTGCAAATTTGAACAGTGGGTCACAGGGTACAGTGTGGGTCTGGGCATGCATGAGATGAAACGGCAGGAACAGCAGGATCACAGATAAAGCACGACTCTCGGATCTAATGGTGTTGGCTTAATGTATATAAACAATATCTAGTATCACCGTGAGCCCTCAGCTCCAAAATCAAAGGTCACCATATCGTGAAAAAAAAAGTTCAAGTTAAGTGCTCAAGCCAATGAAACATTAAACAAGTGCACCTGCATTTTCACAGCAAATAATTCCAGCGGGGATTTCACGTTGCTGTGGATACAAAGGGAGGAACAGCTCAGAGATACTTGTAAAGCAGGGAGGGATTAGGGTATCCAGGGAAATAAGTAAAAGGTATTGTGTTTCATTCCATGCTTCAGGAGGACAGCTACAAAATTAGGTCTAAACATCCTTATCCTTCAAATAAAGAGGGTCACGTTGCCAATTTATTGTGAACACAATAAAAGAAACATAAAACTTTTCATGTTGCTTACCCTCTGGGCGGTGGAAATCTGACATCCCGATGGGTGATCCCTCATTATTTTTTAGGTGATTTTTTTTGGAGGGGGTATAGTAAAGGCGACCAAAACAAGTGATTTAATTAACTACTTTTATTAATGCTTTTATTTGAAGAAATAGATAATATACAGAAAAAATAATTACCCCACATCAATCTAAATGTTTCATTTTCATTTACTAAAATCTCTGCTTTCTGACTGGTTCGAAACTGACAAAAATATTTGCCAAATGATAAGAAATCCTAGCTCAAGATAGATATTTAACCGAACCGTATATTTTACTAGTCAAAGAATAACTCAGATTTAATTCAGTCTTAATAATAACACGTAATGTTACAAAATGCTCTATAGATGGGGTTTAAAAGTTGGGAGTTATATGAACTCCTAATATTAGAAGAAAAACATAGGGCAAAACAAATCAAAACAAAATACTTAATTATAAGTATGGAAAGATTAAGAAAATCTGCCAATTTTTCTCTGAAAAATTTTTAACTTTTTTCAGCAATTATTTTTTCTATTTAGATAAGAGGAGACTTTTTAACAATGCCCTGGCCTGTTTATTTCATTTTTCTTTTTCCTTCTTAAAAACTTCTTATT